AACATTACGGGCAGTGACTATACATCTTGATTACTTCGGTTCTATCTGGGGCTATTCACATCTCTTTGCTTTCATAATAGGGGCTTTAGACAGCAGCAGTGATATAAGTGCGGGTTCTTTTTGTCATTGTAGGTGAATTTGATAGTAGTGTTGGTCGTCACAGTGGAATCACTCTGGTCGGATTAGATTCTTGTTTCTCAAGAGTAGATTAAGACCCGGGGTACTCTACATTTGATCCTTATATAATTATCCGTGAACGGCAAATTAAAGCTTTGCTCACAAAGGGTCATCAAGATTAATAGGCAAAAGTAAATGAAAAAATGGCAATACATAGAACAGAAAACACTTCCCGTCTGACGGTGGCTAGTGATAAGGGAGATAGTGAGTTTTATCACTCACCGCCACGATGGGGAAAAGAAAATAGAGAGAAAAATCTTTCTATCTCCCGCATTCTCCTCCAAGTTCACACATATCACTCCCAGCTCATCAGTAATTGGTATTCACTATTACAAATAGCAAGAATCCCCTACCTATATTGTATTCTTGCACGATTACCAGAGCCCTAAGAAAAACAAATCTCTCACCTTTGCTAATAGGAACCTGTGTTTAAATTACATTCCTATGATCATTCCAGCGGGATCAGCCATCACAAATCGAATTATAATAGGTTTGGCTGTACATTTACATAGAGCAGCTTCTGTTTCATTTATGCATATTGTGCTACATGAAAGTCAACTTTCGCAGGGCCATATTTCCGCTTGTTGCATTTGAGTCTTGTCATGTGGTGAGACGGCATTCGGCGATAAACCTCTCAAGATGAAGGTGTCCATCACATCTTTGACCAAGTCATGTAACTATTTGGAGTGTTTACTTTCATACCAGGCGGGCGAGCCTTGAATAGGAAGCAAGGCTTTCTCTGCTGTGGAATTATTAAACCCTACGTCTAGAAACCCCTCCAAGCATATTTTTCTTCCGAACGGAAATGGAGCAGCTAATGATCATTTATTTGACATTTCGTTTCAATGATTGCAATCCTAGAGATCGGAGGTTAAGTTGAGACAATCAATAGAAGCGATCGATTTTCATCGGCTTAGGGCAGGTATAAATGACGAATCAAGCTTTTGAATTCATATTAGACACATATTCAACAATCATAGCAGGGCATTTCTGTCTTTCCCTCAGCTGAAATAAATTATTTAACCCAATGGCGAGCATCGATAAGAATTCCACCCGCATGGGTTCATCCCTTATTTTATCACATGATATCTGAATTTCTCTATATGTTATATACTTACTCAGCTGATATTGCCATAGCTGTAAGGTTGCATGCAACTAATTAATTAAAAAACACAAAAATACTTACTCAGATAATAGTACTACAATCCACTAGTGCGGTCTCATGTCTTGGGAGATACAGGCGCTGCCTGTGAGTCGCTTGGAAAAAGCGAATGGTAACGCGAGTATCTAATATATATCGTTATTAATTGGCGTACTACAGTGCAATTTGTAATTGACTCATATCGGTCTAAGGTAGCACCGGAAATCAATGTGTAAAATAGAAAAATTGTAAAAACAGGGGTCTAAAATGAATGGCCGGCCAATAGGATACTTACCATACTTCTAGAATCTTTGGTGTGTTCCGAACCCCATACCTGCTATGTTGGGGGGTTGGAAGGAGCCCCCCCCACCCAATGCTTTTTAATATTTATTTAATCCTTATAATCCAATGTGGCTGCACACCCCTAGTCACGTAGGGTACTAGATTAGTCGGCAGTCATATTCGCCAAGCCAGTATCCGCCGAGGCTAATAGGGGGCTATACCGAGCGCACTGCATGCAGTCCAGATCTCAATATGTCAAATTAAACCCGCTCCTCACCATAATATCCCATCTACTACTCTAAACCTCTGCATCTGGGGCAGAATTTTGTTGCTCAGCCGTGCCTTGGCAATATGCAGACACAAACCAAGTCGGAAACGATCTGAAGTTATAAGAACCTCCGAGCTATTGGGAATAAAACAATTTTTGAAACTCCCATACCGATCACAGCCGGCTGCAGGTGGCCCAAAAGGGTCTCAAATCAAATCGCCAACAGTCCATCTGGATCATGACACACTGCGTCCGACGGAAACGGGCTGCTGTTATGCACCCCACATCCCACCCTTGTATCGCCCCCTGCATAAGTATGGGAAAGCTCCTATTGGCCGAGGTAGCTACATACCTAAACTCTTGTTTTTACTATCGTGCCCTCTGTCTCTAACCTCCACATCAAACTCCCTCATCATCACCAGCGAAAAAAGAATTAACTATAGATTACAAGCTACAGTGATTGTGGTGGCTAAAATCTTTTTATTTTATCATAAATCTAATCTACGATTACTTAATTCATTAGGCGGCTTAAAATATCCATTTAGGTATTTAAATTTAAACTTTCTATTAGATTGCCTCATGAAGTTATGGCCGGGAGTTACCTACAGAGGCAATCCACTGAATATTCGGGCTATGTGCTATATATAATGCTAGGCTGGGGCCAGTATTATAAGAACAACTGTGAGCCTATTTTAGGTTTTGTGCTGCCCGCAGCCTGTCCGTTCCTTTGTTCTACTAGACGGAGCGGTTGGCTGCAAGCAGTTCATGCAGGTCAATACATCGTTTGCTTGCTTCGCACAGTAGGCTGTACTCGACTGCACTACTATTGGGTAATTGGCGGTGCGACACCTCCCTGAAACAGTAGTCTGTTCCCCTGCCGATTGTGCTCCCTCGATAATGGTACGGGGAGTGCGGGGCTCACTAGACAGAGAAACGGAGCAGATGCCAGAAATACATCACTCTGCTCTCGTATATGGGGCGCGTCGCCCCACAGATGCATACGGAGGGGGTCTTACTCCTCATGGTCTTGATGGTTTCTGGGAAACATGGTCAGTGGACAGTCCTTTGACCAATCCTCAGCTGGCTGCAGCAAACATTATACATGCGCGGGCATATTTACTAGATTATACCGATATTCTTTTAGCAGTAACGTAGTATATTCAATAGCATATATTATCACACGTTCCGAAATCTGCAAGATTGCGCGTGCTAACATACAATTGACCTTCCTTCTCTACTTAGAGTGTCATGTGTCCTCATTACTTGAGCCGGTTGAAACATGCAGCTGGTCTGCCGGTTTACATTCTAGCTCGGCGACTTATCGTTTTTCAGCCGTAGCCGTAACGAAAATGGGCGCGTTTGTAAAAACACTGAAAAGGAACAGGAGTTACTTTCACAGAAAGATCTTGAATAAATGACCCATTTGGGCTTTTATGCAGACAGAATATCATAAAATGATCGACGCCTATGCCCGGTCATTTCTTGAAGTTTGGAGACCAGGCCTAGGCGTTTTAAACCAGTGGTTACAAGGATATAGCTTATAGGCCTTGCACGTTCTTTATGGAAATGCTAGATAATGGGGAAGATGATCATCCGACCTCCAATCAGTAGGAAGGCCACAGCGTGTGATTCCATCTGCCATCATTTGGCCTCTAAATCGATTGCTACAGGTAGCCATCAAGAACAAACCACCGATCCCTATGGTCTATGGGTGCTGCATCTTCCAGTATCAACTTCACACGATCCTCTCGTATTCAGAGTTCATGTCCTCGCCAAGTGCGCTGCCGTATGTACTGTGCTTGAGCGCGAAGTCTTATTCCTTGCGGAAGAGCCTTTTTTGTTGCCCACTAAGTCGCACAAATTATACATTCGTATTATTGGACAGTTTCGGTAATTGAATGAGTATGACTTGATTTGTTACATGACATGAGTTGATTCCATTAGCCATGAAAAATCAAATCAATTTTAATCGTGCATCGCACCGTCTATGAGAGTAGTTTGTGAGGTCGCCTAGTGATCAAATGCAACAGAAATCTGTAATCGGCTGGAAAACCCACTGTTACTCACCCCTCCTTCACACTCGAATCTACGTTTTTTTGAGCCTAGGAAGAGACGAATTGTTGACCATCATCTGAGGTTTATCATGATATTTTTCATAATTTTATCCCTCATAGTCTTGTTCTGTTTTTAAGGGTGGAGATTTCAGGTCTCCAAATCGACGTTTTAGACCTCCAGTAGGTGAGCACTCTGCATGCACTTTCAGGAAGGTATTTTCTCGGCATGACCGTGATTAAGTGTGACAGTGCAGCGACCTAGGTCTGCATCGCAAACTCTCTAATGTACGGTATTCATTGGTGAAACATCAAATAGACTCCCGTAATTTGGCGGGGAATAGTGATTCTAGTGCAATGTGCATGGTAGTAACAGAATGTTCCTTCACCATATGACCTCTGAGAGGAATATTTGCTAGTAGAGATACTCTACATGAAGTGTAGTTTGGCGCTGACTGCAGTAATATTAACCTTAATTTTAATATCGGTTTGTCCGCGTAGCAGCTAAACTATGGCATTTAATAAGGAGGTTTTATGGCACGCTCAGGGTTCGAAGACCTCATCAATTGAGTTGGGATATTCGGCAAAGCTTTGGGGTTCCCAGCCCAATTTGTTCAATAGAAATAAGTGCTAAAGTACGCATAGGAATGGGTTGGTCACTTGATGTTTATGCTGGATAATAACTACATGTATATGAGTGGTCGAAGAGGGGAATTATGTCTTAGCCCCGCAAGAATGCATGCATGCGCGCAAAAAACCGCAAATGTTTGTTGAGGAGATTCGTACAAACAACCTACAGTCCCAAAACAATTTTTCCGAAGGCATATGGTCTTATATGGTTCGTGTGTAACTATATCGGTGCGATGATTGTCCTATGCAGACATGGGAAGTGGTGGGTAATATTAGTCTGCAGGAAGTGTTCTCAACTTGTGCTGTCACCTAGGAGCAGTCACTAAGACGCAACTGGTGCCTGTTTTACAAAGAAAATTCTTATTTATGATGATGATACATTGGTGGCTCAGACATGGGCCCTGTCTCATGCCCAGCCTTCTTAATGTGATTGGTTCATAATTATGCTGCGATGTCCACCGAACGAAGGGTAATCACTATCTCAAAGCCCCTCTTCGCTCACTGGGCAATTGCCTTACGTTCTCGAGCCACTTAGCGAACCGCTCTGGCTTACTTCAACAGATCTCTCAATGGCCGCATCCGGATCTGTTCATGGAGATCTACGCTGATACCGGCCCCTCATTATTTGACCCCTACATGCGACTTAATGCCATACCCTATGGCATTGCCATTGCCGATGTAGAAGCATACAGCAAGTTCGGTCCCGATGATCGATTTACAACCTGGGCCGACGATCAGATTAAGGAAGCTGGTAAGTGTTAAATATCTTAATGATTGACGGGCCTAACCTGTGGTTGAAACAGGCGTGGACTATGTAAGGGATAACCCCACATACAACCTCTTTGGCAACAACTGTTACGATTTCGTGAAAGCTATCGTTCGTCGTATCACAACCAGGGGTCCCATCTCAGTAGAAGCGACACGCGACCTTAAGCCAGATGCTGCAGTCCTTGAAGTGTACCGAGCTCACGTCAGAGGCGTTAATGAATTCCTAACTGGTTATGGCCTTCCAGAACATGAACAGCTGTTGAATCGTTTTGTGGTGGATTAATAAACGGTCGCGACCAAGGATGCTAAAGAAGCTCTAGCCTCTGGGTAAATGTTCGATGTCTGAGTCTTTTAGACAAAGATCATCCGATTATGGTCCTGAGTTCTTTGATTCATGTCAATTTCCCGTAGTTAAATGGTAGGAATTCACATTTTATATCTCGCAACATTCTACAATGCCCTCGGGCTGCAAACCCAATGAAGCATCAATTAATTAATCTCCAATGCGTGGCAAGTAAGGGTTACACATGTTCCGTAGAATAAACTTGTCGAGGACTCAAAACATTTTTGAAGGCGGTTCATGCCTGTCGATTGTGATATGGTGTGCCCTATGTTTCTTCTAGTCTATGCGCAGGACGCTACGCATTTAGTAAACCTTCGGCGGATAGGATGATCTATAAGAGGAATGTTCGTCTACGGTGTGAAGGAGGGGGTGTTTTTCCGGCATCCTTTAAGTAGGCAACCTATGCCACTGGGGTTATTGGATGTGCTGTCGGAACCATGGTTTGAAACTTGCCAAATGTTTTTGGTTACTGCTATCAAACTTCAAAAACACTTTGAGTTCTCTCTATCAGCCATGGAAATGAGACTTTTGACTCATTTCGGAGGAACGCTTGTGGAAACGCACAGAATATTCATCTCCATCGCCGGAGATATTGGCTCTTCATTCCCTTCCTTGATGGCTTCTCTTGATGCTTTTCTTCATGGGTTTTCTTGGTGATTTGATTGATAATTTTCTTGATAATTTTCTTCAGACCTTTTCCGCTGCGGCACCGTGGACCAGAAATGTATTCTCTCGGCACCAATTTGATATCCGAAAAACACTGAGGGTAATCTATCAACCAGTGGTGTAGGTGATAAGAGATAAGAAATACACTTGCTAATCGCAGTCCCCCAGGCTCAACACCGACTCTTTTTTTATTTTTATTTGTTAAGGATATAAACTTATATAATGTGTTAATTAAACATATGAAACTTAAGATTCATTTCCGGATTCGTTTCCCCCTAGTGAAATGATTCATTTCCGTGTTAAAGATAGTTCATTTAATAAACAAATCCGCGATGACTCATTCCACATGCACCGTGGTCCTACGTGGAGGTAAGATGCATTTCTTGATTCATTTCTATGGTTGGTAGAGTCTCAAGTTTGCGAAAAATTATTGCCGGTCATAAAACTCTTTATCTGTTACAATGATCATTTTTCTTAACCTATTTACTGAAGGCCCACCTATTTGACAGCCCGCAGGGCGATACCTATTTATTTTGAAAACCACTACCAATAAGCGGAACGTTCAGTGTATAGGTACTGCCAAACCCTAACCCATGGAAACCCGAGAAAATTGCCCTTTCTGAACTTCAAGCTTACGTATTTTCCTAAGTGTTCTCTATTTGGAAGCTTTAACGAAAGAGGAAGCCCTAATAATGCCTGATGGATGCGTAGTTATGAGCAAAGATCAGGATTATATTGAAAATAAGCTAAATCTAGGCTTACTTGAGACAGAGGAAGCCTTATACCAGCCTTTTTGAAGGCTTAATTTAAAACCCTGTGTTATAAAAATACTCGTTCCGGCGTTAAAGTATGTAACGAGAACCTGAACATAAAAACGCGCTAGCAGGGGTCAAAATGATTGTTACCAGAAAAACAGTGTTCAGCTTCTTGAAATCTGCCACGATTACGTGGAGTGAAGCATTGGCACTGCGCATACGCGCTGTCACATAATCTCAGCTAACTGACTAGCGTTGTCATATGTACGTAAATATGAATGGCATTGTACTTACTGCGGACATAATATGCATGCGTTAATACTTACTCCCCTCTCTGTGGATAGCGTCGATCCGGTTGTGCTTCCCACGTCGTAACCGCACTTTGTGAGGAGTACGCCCTGAACATCCTCTTATACTATATTTTAAATCCTCACCCGGAATGATATGTGACAGCGCGTATAGATATGGTACTGCGCATTAGCGAACGCAATATATCGCGCAGGGTAATTCTCATCTTTTCCGTGAGGGACTTGAATAACTTCACCTCACATATGTGAATTGGAGTGTAGGAGAATAGACGACTTGAGGAGGGTTTGAACACGTGATCTTTGTGAGGAATATGTTTATAGTGCAAAGAAGATACTATTGCGCCGCTGAGTTCCAGCGACAACTATGGGAGTTTGTTGCTCCTTATATACAGATAGTTCTTAGTACCACGTGATCCCCTGATTACATAATCCTAGCGCTAAGCCTCCTTGTTCCAACTATGAGTCATCCCTTATACATGAGTAATTACCATACATAACCGATGTCGCAATGCCATATTTTTACAACATACTCAATGAATATCACTAATCCTTGCCAGACATGCATGCATGCTGCGGTAACAATTGAGTTGTTCTATCCTTGGTAGTTCCGTAAATGAAGATGATCTAGAGAAAAACACTTATGGTGAACCCCCATAGATCATTCCGGTCGCTGTCCATTTTCTGCCACCACCCAAACTGTCCAAGAAACAGACAAGTGAAAGTCAGCCAGGGGGTATGTTCACTAGTGAGGGGTGTGATCCATGTTGTATGGATCATCTCGCTTAGCAGGGAAACGCCGTAGTGGGGTAAAGCGATAAGCGAGGTCTGATTACATATCTTGGCCTCTTGGTGGTCGAGTGCTCGCCTGTGCAGACTAAGACTAACTAGGTCACTACTACCGATCACAATCAGCTCACCTGGGTGAGTTCTGTTTTCTCGTCCATCTCGATATGGCATGATATCCCTCTCCTGGACACTCTCCTCGACCGATACATCTCACCTTCGGATCCGCCTGATATTGTTGTTCCTGTAGAGCCTGGGTGTATCAAGATCTTGGGCATCGTTCTTCTATCTGACATCTACAGTGACAAGGTTATCCAGCTTGATCTCGCCGTCTAAGCCAAGGCACTGCCGAAGGCAAGAGAAAGAATGCCACCAGAGATTACCTGAGCAGAGGAAAAAGGGAAAAGCATAGAAGTCTGGTGCTAAGATGGTTCCGCGGTGTGCCCCGGGTTGGGGGGGGTGCTGATCGATAGTAACCAAAGCACAGTGATAACTCGTGATTAAAAAAGGAAGAGTAGAAGTAAATGAAAGTGAGAGTGTGTGCGGGTACAGGTAAAGAACAGTCAAGGAGAGCCCGGCCCCTTGCATACATGTACTTCCTACACTGGACACTAATGAACGTCACTTCAATAAATGGGACACGAGGAAACTCTTGATGCGGTAATAGGCCAGGAAACGGTTGAGATCCGTAGCTATCCATGCCAAGCCGGGAAAGCCAAATGGGCATTTCAGCCACAAACCGCGCCACACCCAGGACGATTTAACAATGCATTTGTAGAATAAATATATACTTGCTTACTAGCAAAAGAACCAGTTGCTCAGTGCAAGGGTACTTTGTATGGAGTGGCGCCGTTCTCTCATACAAATAATCCCTGTTTCCGTCACTTGCATTTTCTGGTTCTTTTGCTGGTAACCAAGTACATACATACCGGGCGAGATTGACCAACGCATCCTGATTATATTAGTTGTGTCCCTTGCCAGTGTTAAAGTTCAGTATAAATACCAGTGCAGGTTATCATCTCTTCTACCTTATAAACATTGTGTTATACCATCTACTCGGGATACAGGAGAGGAATATTTATCTAACCAATCTATGTCGATATGTTTTTCAGGCAATGTCCAATCAGGGCGAATGTAGTTCGTTTCTCGTCAGCCATCTTTGATTGGACCTCGCCCACATTTGTGTTCTTACCTAGGTTATGTAATGCAGCATATATCGACAACACATCAAATATCATCAGCTTCGCACCAGATAAGCCATATCGGCAGAGCCATCTGTGGTAAGGTATGTATATGTAGCCACATGCACAGGAAGTCAACTACCCCAAGATTGACCGATGAACATATACTGCGCCATGGATACGCCTCCCCAGCAAAGCGTGGCTGTGTTTGTCTACAGGCGTAGCATCATTAGCTGATGAGTCGGCTTTCTTTTAGGAGCCCACTCACATATATTTCCGGTTCATTACACAACAACATTGGCGAGATCGATATAGAGATACGGGCGACGAATATACACTCCCGGGGCATATGTGCCACTAAATGGGAATAAAAGTAGCCTATATCCTGCTCCAATGGAGATCTAGACTAGAGCTCCGGCGATCAAAATTCGGTTTCAATAATCCGTTAGATTTCCCACCGCATGGCTCAAGGAATTGAGGCGGCAATCAGATTATAGGGTATCTAATTAGATCCATTTGTAGACTGATCAAACCCGTTCCGTAAACCTAATCTCTTGTAGTTAAACTAGACTTTGTCATTTTACGCTTAGACTCTTTGTTCACAGATAACTTCCCCAGGTGTCTGATGTTTGCTACTTAATGCACATCGTGAGTTTCTATCTCCAGTCCAATCAATGATTCCGCACATTCAGCAGATATGGGCCTACGCATTAAATCTTTATTATTAAAAAACGGGGAGTTGACTCATATCGAGTGATAGTGCGGGTTACCACCCCGCGACCGAGTTGTTACTATCGAGGCGCAACACCTCAGAAGCTGTACCGCGATGGTCTTATGGCATTTCGAACCATGCCAGCCCGGCGCAACTGGTTCCCGGAAAGCCCAAGTTGTTTCCGGACAGCTCATTCTCGGCGTCGGTTTACCATCCCCGCGCATAGGGCACCCAAAGTATCCACTCTTTGATCAAACATTAATAGCTCCATAATTTGATCTCGTTCCAGACAGCTATTAAGGGTTTGATAGTGCTTTTTCAGCGCTCCCGGAAAGCATATCTTCATCCCGGAGATAAAATTTTGACTTCCACTGGCTCGACCGGAGTACCCAAGTATCTTCCGGAGGGCTTGGCATACAAGACCATAGATGTGGTGTTCGCGTATAAACTTGCTTGATTATTCTAGATACGAAAATAGAGGATTTATCTATGCTAGGAAAAAGAGACCAAGGGTATGAAGAACTGTGGGTGCGTG